CTTTATTGAATTGAGTTTGGTTTCAGTTAGTTTCCAGAGTGGAGTTGCTCATTTTAGACTAGGTTTGGTTGGTTGTAAGCTCTCCAGCTAGTTGTGGATCTAATCTGGGGTTTTCTCCTATTTGGGTGTACATGGAAAACCTCCCAGGTGACCCTACTACCTCAACTAGCTCCTTTCGACACAGAGCAGCAGCGGCTCAATTCCAAGCTTCTCACCTTATCTCTATGGTGAATCCTAGCCATGCTACAGAGAAACCCAATTTCTGCTGCTTGTATTTTTGACCTCAGTCCCTTAGTCATCGGTCTTTTAGTCAGTCTTAGAACCATAGTTGGAATGGAGGTTAACTAGTAAATTTACATTTTGGCACGGCTCTGCTTTACGATGATAGACTGGTACAGCGCTCGCATTACTGCTCACACCACCTCGTGCTCCACCTTCATTTCACTCTTCGATCTGTTCTCAGTAGACTGTGCAAAGTTGTTTGACTTGTGTTAGCTTTACCTGCCACAGTTTACACTCAACTTTATTTTTGGCACGAGCCCCACACTACAGTGGCTAACATTGGCCTAACGCATGTGCAATCAAACAAAAAAAAAAAAAAAGGTCCATCTGTTGTGTTGACGCCTTAGGGAAATAAAGGAGCAGCCTGAGTTTTTGCATGTTTCTTCTGTTTGAACAGCAGCATCTCGTCTCACCATCTCAGACACGTCATCATTCACACATGGTAGTTAGTTTTGCATTTGATTTTAATTTTTGTGGTTGGAAAATGCATTCTAGGTGCATTATTGCAGCCTTCAGTGAGCAACACGGTATTACAGGTTTCAATATGATGGTTGAAAACAAAGAAATTATATATATTTGATTTTAAAAAACAAAAAAACAAAACGGGTATGGCATTGGATTTTTATTTTAAAACTTTAATGCAAGTAAAACCACAGAAGTTTTAATTTCCCTTTTCTTTGTGGTGTGCTGTTGCACATGGTGGCTACATCGCCTGTGAAGGTTGTGGTGCTTACTGCTATGTAGAGCGATATGACCAAAAAATATTTATCACGATATACATTTGAAAATTTGCGATAACGATATAACTGACGATATAATTGACACTAGACAAAATACTTTACAACTCCACAACTTTATTAGTGCAAAAAACAACAACAACCCATCAATGTATTTTCACTTAAACAAGCAGCTGTTTTATTATGTGCATTAACGCTATATAAAAATTTAACAGTGCAAATGCAAATTCCTTGCTGACAGTTTAACCAAAAGGCATTTCCAGTGGAAATTGGCCGACATACCCTCAGCATAACCATGTATAATATCCACAAAACTTAAAAAGAGGTTATACACACACACACACACACACACACACACACACACACACACACACACACAAAATACGGTAATATTATGTTGAAGCACAGTACGTATCACTCCGTGAGGCTGCTGCCTACGATAGCTGTAATGCTCCGACAATCCATCAAGCGGTGCGCGTTTTACCCATATTCTATTGCGATATTTCATTTTCTTATTGTTGCCCAACATTATACCGGTATAATCGTGAACTGTATGATAGGGCCCAGCCCTGCTGCTATGAACACGAAATTGTTTCGATTGGCATAATCGAACAATAAGTGGGTGATCATTTATCCAGTGTTTCCATAACTATTTCACATTATTTATTTTAATTGAATCAGATTTCTTTGTAAATGTACTTTGTCACAATGTCTAAATGTCACTGGCTGTGGCATCTGGCATTAAAGTTGTAAACTGAGATAATGAGTCATATCTGCATAACATTTTGTGGGATCATGATGAGACTGGTTCTGTGGGTAGATGAGACCTGGGTGCACCTGTGTGCAGCAGTGTGCCCTGCTTGATGTTTCTGTACTTGTTCCACAGAACTGCAGCTTGCAGCTATATTTTGCTTAGTCTTATTTATATCAGTTTGACGGTGAACAAAGGCCCGGTTCCCTTCAGACGTACATGGATTCCTTACGTCGTTTCACTGAGGAGGGAAGAATTATTTATGGACATGCAAATAAGGCTCAGCTCTGTAACAGGATGTAGACCTAACGTTCTGCTTATCCAAATGAAAATGTTATTTCTGTCGGGGCGTTCCCATACCAACAACAATGTTGTCTGTCTGACACACATCCTGATGATTAATTTAGATTTTGCTGTGTTGTTGTTGTTGTTGTTGTTGTTGTTGTTTTTGTTACTAAAAATAAAGTTCACCACCCCCCCAAAATAACATTTTTATACTAAATGTTTGTGTCTGTATCATAATTTTGACCTTTTTGGGGAAATAAATGCATAGTCTGATTTCATACACTGCATAAAATAACATTTTCATCATTAAAGCGGCATTTGAAAGTCATCCTTTTATTTGTAATGGGGCTGTTCCTCTTCTTTGCTCTGCCAGGTCCATAGAGAAAGTGACTGTGCTACCATTTCCTGAAACTCACTTCTCTTTCCTCATTTCCAAACCACAGACCAACAGTTTATTGTTTACCTTCAGCTCAGATGAATATGCATGTTCGGTGATGACTAATCCGGCACAGCGAAACTCATAAAAATCCACTGTATATGATGTAATCATCTAAGGCACCTCTGCCATGGTCTTAGACCCATTGGGCACATTAACAGAACAGTGTAAATGTTTATAGAGCCCATTTAGGAGGTAGATACGTGTGAATAAACCTGCTGATCCAGGTAGGGAGAGTATGCAAATCAGGCTGATAGCTGATAGTTTATCACAGTGGAGGAATAGTTATGGCAAGAGGAACAAGAAACAAGGGATACAGTCTCTGTTTTTCAACCAGAGGTAGAACTACGGACAGAGACAAAGTGGATTTCACTAATAGAGACACCTTGGCACTCCCTCTGTTGTTGCTGTGTTGGTAAAATAAAACACCTGGCTTAAACAAACTGTTTTTGATTCCTGTGTGTATTTATTTCTCAGCTTAATACCTTTAAATCCTTAACAGTTTACAGTGAGCGCTGATGTGTCTGGAAGCAGACCAGGAATTTCAGATGGATTGAAAACATTCATTTTCCGCTTGGTCGTTCCAAATTGGAGTGCCTGAATGGAAAAACTTTCGGAAGATACGGTTTATGATTGTTTGGCTTTTTTGATTTTTTTTTTTTTTTTTTTTTAAAAATGGTTTAAAAAAAAAATAAAAATAAGGCTGAGCTTACAACTTTGGCATATATAATTACTTATTGAGGTTTCTATGTGATACTTCAGGGGAGTGATGACAGTATGAATGGGTGTGCAGGATGTGTGTTAGGCTCTAGTCACACAGGCCTGGAGACTAGTTGGTGTCCAGTTGACAACAATTGGTCGTTAAAGAAAAATATGCATTTCATGACTGGTATTAATAGTTGCTTAACTATACCGTGCTCCATGGAAATTCTGCTTGCAATTGCTTTGGTTGCTAGCAGATTACCTGAGTTGCCACAGTTTGAGTGGAAGACAGCTACTTGCCTGCAACAAGTTGGAGACTCCTTTCAGAATTGCAGAAAAAAAAAACTGGGCCTTCATCAATTTCAATATTTTGTTTGTTTTTTGTTCTTATTTATTCCCCCGTTTGTCCTACAGAAATGACAAATAAATCTTAATTGATCTTAATTTCCCGGGTTTTGCTTCTTTCAGCTGTTCATCACAGTGTTGAAAAATAACTTGCACAAAACATTTGGTACAACAAATAAGTAACAGCCACTGATGGAGAGAAGAGAAGTAAGAAAGTCTGAGGAGGGCCGAATAACTTGAAATAAAAGAGAACCTTTTGCGAGGCAGATAAGCCATGGCATAGAGCTGGGCGATATAAGATTTTTTTTTCATATCACGATATGTTTTTTCATTTTAGGCGATAACGATATCTATCACGATATAAGCCAAATAACTATATTTGTAAGATTTAAATGTGCCGTTGCTCACAAGTAAAATGTGAAATAATCAGCAGCTTGTTTTTATTTAAATATTTATTTCCCATAATAAGTTCAACAGGGTAGATGTACTTAAGGAACATGAGACTTTTTCAGATAAATAAAGGCAAATATTGCAAACTACACAAAAGCAGCCGCTAAAGCGTTAAAGTTTCAAAATAGAGCAAACGAAACAGACTACTAAATTGTCAATTCCACTTAGAAACAAAATATTAATTCTAAAAATAAATCTTAGAAGATCAGACAAAATTGACTAACTTTTGTCAATATCAAATAAACTGAGAACTAAAAGGAAATTCTCAAGCTCTCCTTGTTGTATAGCTGAGCTTTTCAAACAGTTTTAACAGTTACTTTAGTCTGACAAAAGCCGAATGACGAATTAGCGCTTCCAGTCAGAGATTGAGCTGCACCGCTTTATTGTATTTCCAGACTTGCTTTCGGCACAATTTAAAGTGCGCGCTACTCTGTTTTTTGTCAGACTTGAAATAGTCGAAATACCTTCACACTACGGAACTTCTTTGGCTCTTCTGTTCGACAATCTCTCCGGCATTGGAACCATCATCTGTTTTCTCTTCGGTAACCTTCGGTCACGCTCGGTAAATTTTTTCTCTAGTCGGCACACTCATTTCCTCCATTACCGCTGGCTGCTTCCCAAACAAATACACATGTGCGGCACGTAACAAGTCACGTGATGTGACGCTGCGGCTGTGATTGGTTCGGCTCTGCGCAACTTAATTTGGATTGGCTGTTTTTGTTAAGAGGACAAGAGAGATGAGGCCTATCGCAATAGTTTAACTTTTCTATCGAGGAAAAGTTATTTCGCAATACATATCGTTATCATATCGCCCAACTCTACCATGGCATAATAATGCATCTTGCAGTGTAACATCACTTTAAGATGTTACACTGCAGAAAGACAGGAGGTTTAGTGAAAACTAATGTAAATACAAACTTTGTTTCCATTAAAGCTCCAAAGGTTTGAAGAGTAGTACTTGCACAGCGTGTTTTTCATTAAAGTGCATGTGTCTTTTTGTTTGGTCTCACAGTAACAGAATGGGGTGATGATGTGCGGCCGATCTCCGAGGAAGAAGCCATGGTCATCGTCAACCACCAATCAACAGGAGATGTGTGCACACTCATGATGTGCCTGCAAGACAAGGGAACGGTAAGAAAGGACAGGGATGTGTTGCTTTCTTGTCACCTCCCCTTGGGGGAAAGTGTGCAACACTGTTAAGGATGCACTGTCAACATCTTTACACAAAAAGCAGTGCGGACGTTTGGACCTGCGGGCTGTTCCTGTGAGAACAAACATCACCCTGAAAAGCCTTTTGGCTAAAATTATGTTAATTTGGAAACATAATTCTTGTCTCAATTCATCCTTAAGCATTTCACATTAATGTGGCTGTTGACTTTGTGCATCATGCCAGTTTTGAACGTTTCACCTCTGTTGTAGTAACTGAGGAAAGCGAGGACACACAGTGGTGTGCAGTGGGACACCACTTTAATAAACAAATAAATAAAAAACATGTTCTATTTATTAATTTATTTATTCATTGAAATGATTGCTGTGAGTCTGATTCGAACACAAATACAGGAGTCGGCCACTTTGAACAGCCCTTTTGATTACTGCATTAGAGAACTCCAGCTGTGAAGTGATCAAAATGACATTATATGAACACATAAAACAGCTAAAGTTGGATTTTTAAAAAAATATTGTTAAAATGAATGCTGCAGGAAGCTCATACTATACATTCATGCTGCCTGCTTAAGGCTTTCTTTGTGACTTCGTGAAATAATAATAGTAAGTAAGTTACTCCACGCTCACCTTTACCTGACATGTTTTACCGTAGCAAGCCAAAGTTGGTTTAATAGATTTATATGAGGAAAAACAAATGCCAGTTACCGGTAGTTGCATCATTTCGAGTCCGCCAGGTAACAGGATATCTTCCCTTTTTTTCTCCCCTCCCTCAACGTTTTCACTTCTTTGCTTATGTTGAGGCTGCTGACTTGTGGCAAGGTGGATGGTTAGTTTTATTTTTAGGCACTTTTCCTCTGTTAGCATCTTTAAAATGTGTTTAAGTTGGGTGAAAGTGATTATAACAATAAATCTAATCTGATAGTTCAGTCATTTTTGTTGTGAATCCCCCTGCGATTTAATTTTGGAACTTTGTGTTTTAACTCGCTGTGAGGAGCTTCCATGATAACATGATTTGGTATGTGGCTGTGAGGTGCGCAGTCAACAACTGCTGCCAGAATGGCATAAATTATGGCACCAAGATGTGAACTCTCCTAACCCTGCAACTATTTACTTGTTTGTGTGTTGCCAAACAGACCAGTGGACATGCTTGAGGCTAACCAGCTGGTCACCGATCAGAACAGAGGATGCTGAAAATGAGTGGATGTTGCTTGACTTGTAAATTAGTCATCAGGAACACCCCCAATTTTACCTGTCTAGTCCGCTGCTAACGTCACAATAAAAATTGTTTTTGACCGCTACAGGAAATTTTCCCTATGAATTCTTAGTGATGTTTAGTGAATTCCAGCGTTAAGTGTTTTCAAACTACTGTTGTACTGTGTTAATAGATTCATGCTTTGAGTTTTCATAGCACTAAGGGGAATGTGTTTATTATCTCCTTGAGAAAGAGCAATAGTGATGGGAGTGTGCAGATGCTGGCTCTCTTGCATTTTTCCACACCGATCACTGTAAACATACAGGGAAGTGTAATGTCAGTGCACATGCACACCTATTCCTCCAGGAGTAATAACTAACCTCAGTCAACATGTGTTTAGTTAAATGTATGTCATGCCTGCGTTCTTATAGGACTCCTGTTAATTGGCTAGCACTATAAAAATCAATGCAGAGGGCAGTGTTGTTGTTTTCCCTTTTTTATTTTTTTTTTGCCGAGAGCTGGCATTGGATCGGGGCAGCCGAGCTACACTGCACAAACATGATGACATGATTCGCCTCAACAACCGCATCCCGGCCCACTTTATCCGCTTAGCACTGAAAGGACAGTAAGCCAAAGCCACATGGGTGCAGGTCACGAGGGCAGAAATACTCAGAGGGGCAGCATCAGTTTGTGCTGTTCACGTAAACTCTGCTTATTTAATTTCTTTTTTTGTTTTTTATTTAAATGATTATTGAATTTTTTCTTTCTTGCAGGTGGTACGAAAAATGATGTGGCTGATGGACCACGTGTTTAAATACACCAACTTTGGCCTAGTGTCCTTGATCCATGGGGACTTCTTCATTAGACAGGTAAGTAGCCCAAAATCTGGAGGTCTTACTTTTATCTTTACTTTTGACTTTAATATGTTTTTTTTCTTCTCTTTGGTTGTTGTCAGCATTAACACAGTCTGCTTCACATTCTTAGCCTATTTTTTTTTTTTTTTAATTGGCATATTAGCCTCAAAGCTTGCAGAAACACTTTTTTGCCAAAGGATAAAAGTCTGTTTTTCCACACTTGTCAACACCTTGTTTTCTTCCCCTGAAATTCTGAGAGTTCAAACCACAGAGCTTTGAAGTCGCAACCCATCTCATTAAACCCCAGTTACTAGAAGCCTGTTATTTCTGCGCTGTCCACAAGTGAAGCTGCTATCCATCTGCTTGTTCCAGCTGGACAGCAGATATGTTAGCAGGCTTTCCTGCAGCCATGGTGTCCCGAGAAGGGGAAAATGTCAGCAGAGAGTGGTGTGGGAGGCCTGCTGAGCCCCTCTGGGTCAGACTGGGCTCTTTTGTTGTGGGGGCAGCTGAAGCAGAGCTCTGACAGGACTACACACACATCCTACAGGGCTCTGACTGGCCAGGGAATTCTTGGAATATCATGCAAGTTTGAGAGGTTAATTTTAGGCAAGATTTGTGCTAAACTCATTAGTGTCAGTGATACACTTACACAAAACCAAGGGGACATCTATTAGATATCAACTACAACAGCACAGCACATCTATATTGTGGCAATTTCCAAGTTTTACCAAAAAATGGGACGTGAGCATCTTGATATCACAATGATGAAAACCACGAGAGAGGACGGGCTACACAAATGCAAAAGCTTAAGTACACACAGAGAGGCAAGCGACAGCAAAGAAGAAGGGGCAAGACTGCAAAATAATCGCAAATATAAAAAGAGGTGTACATCTAGTGAATGTAGATTAGTCATGAAACATAATGTAGTGATCTGCAATAGTATTATTTAGTTGCATTATTTCTGACTAAAAATAAGCTTTTAAAAAGGTTTTTCTAAAGACAAAGCAGATTTTTCATGATAGGCATTCAGTCATGAAATTGAAGCCATATATTCATATTCATCACCCAGACTATCGTACCCCTGTGTCCCAGAGTACACAGGATGTAATAAACATTTATCGGGTTACATAAACATTTGTTGCCTTGGATGTTAGAAATCAGCACGTTTAACTTCACTGAGTAAATAAAGCCGGTGAACCTAAACGGCACTAGCTTCCAACTGGACAAAATCTCGGAGGTCATGACTTAATATTAAACAGAAGCGCTGCTGAGGGGCTGTCTGTGTTGATCCACATTTGTTTTGTTGAATGAGAAGGCTCCCACGCTCCTCACGCTTATCATGCTGTTGTTGCACTTTCTGAGCTGAGCAGAAATGCCCTGACAAGAGGGAATTAAATTTTTTAGGTCATGGAAATGCATTGCCGTGGAATTTCACATCAGCCACCGTGCCGAGGGTGAAGCAACCCGAGCCTGCTAACAGCCAGCTGGACAGGCCGTAGTAGGAAGTCTGAGCGGGCTCAGTCATTTCTGCCGCCCTCGTCTCTCTCTGAAGTCCCCTCTGGCATTCCTGCGCGTGCATTCTTGACATCCTTCCTCAGAATCTTTCACACATCCACACAGTGCAGCAAGCAGCTGCCCCGGCCACCCTGAGCATCTGCTGTCCACCCAGGCTGCCAGACGTGTCTCAGACATTGTTATGCAAAACACAATCCACCATTCCTTAGAGTAGGGGTGGGCGATATAAACGATATACGATATAAACTATATAAATTTGGCCAACGATAGAGATTTTGACTATATCGCTCTATCGTGATAGTGCATGTTGATGATGTCATCAAGCTGCGCCTGTCTTGGTCGAAAGCATCACAGCGGCTAAAACCATTATCATCTGCAAATTATGGTGGGCGACAGTCACAGCAAAGAGATGAAGCACTTTTGAAATATGGGGAAAGCCAAAAACTGTGCTTCCTCCACTTCCGTAACATCGATTCATTAGTGTTGAATTCTCTTGCAGCTGTTCTATTCCCATGTTGTTGCAGTATATTAATAACTAACCTTGTATTGTGGATGCATAATCTCAGTTGTTCTCCTGACTGAAGTTTGGCCCGTGTATAGCATCCTGCTATGTGATTGCATTTGTCCCTGACCACCAGAACCCCCACGTTAACTTTTATCGAGTGGAAAAAGAGTTGGCGTTCATCCTCCAGCTTCACTGTGCTAATGTTATGCTAACATAGCTGTGTCGCTAGCAATCACGTAGCACAACGTTATATACCAGGTAGTCCAACTTCAGTAACCCTGCAAACGCCACTGCTGTTTAGTCTTCTGTCTTCATTTATATTGGAAGTGGTAGCAGAGCTGTACGTTTTAATTCGTTTCAAAAATCTCTCAGTCAGAACATGGTATGAAATGTTTAGGTGTAAACTAGCGAGCTAACTTTCTGTTAACTTCTAACTCCGTTAAATTTAATAAATTATGTTTTCATGGATGCCTGGATGTTAAACTTAATTGTTACACCCGATAAAGCAGCAACGCTGATGATTTAATTAAAGATGAAAGAATTTAGATCGTTTTTAACTCTTAGTGTTTGTTTGACTTTGGGACCTGAAGAGGACTGAGTTTTGGACACAGATTACTCCGCGAAGCAACTCACTACGGCAGCCATAATGCCCTGACAATCCATCAAACAGTGCAGCTTACCAAAGTTGTACTAAAACATTTTTTTAACAGATTTCTGCACGCCCAAATCGGTTCGAGGTCAGTAAGCACAACCAGAATTCATACATAAGGCACACTCTTGATTTTTGAGAAAATTAAAGGATTTTAAGTGTGCCTTATAGTGTGGAAAATACGTTATATAGAAGAAAAGAATATATTGTGATATCTATCGCTACCACACATGCTTCAAATTATATCGTGATATGAATTTTAGGCCATATCGCCCAGCCCTACCTTAAAGGAAATAACAGTTATAAGCACACCTCAAAATTACAGTTCTTGCTTTTAATTTTAAGGTGTGTGATATCAGTAGCAGCCCCTTTTTAACTCTAGGAATGGTTTACCTGACATTGGAACTTGGCCAACTGTAGTGTTATGGCACAACAATAATGTGACACATTGATACTACCAGAACCTTTCTGGTCCTACACTGTCAAGTCACAAAATGTACAATGAACAATTTCTTGTTCTTCACCTTTTAGCTGCAATATTTACCCATCCAGGTCGAAAATAGGTCCATATTTAGGCCATATAGGTCCAGGTCCATATTTTGAAAACTTTTATTTTGAGCACATTGTCCACTTGTCAATGGGTTAGAGCAGCGGTCCCCAACCTTTTTTGCGCCACGGACCGGTTTATGCCCGACAATATTTTCACGGACCGGCCTTTAAGGTGTCGCAGATATATACAACAAAATAAAACTAGTACCGGTACCGAAAAAATAAGATTTATTCATAAGGCACGTGAAAAGACCCAGGAGAACCAAGTTAACGATAAAATCGATAACAAAATAACCCTGAAAACCATAGATTTCACACCTGAGCCTCAACTCTCGCGGCCTGGTACCAAACGACTCACGGACCGGTACCGGTCCGAGGCCCAGGGGTTGGGGACCCCAGGGTTAGAGGTTTGATCCCAAAGTGTTCTTGGGCAAGATTTAACCAAAGATTGGTTCCAGTAATAGACCGGCACCTTGCACGTGTGTTTCTCTTTAAATTGGAAAAACCTGAGTAAGTGCTTTGTGAGAAAGCTGCTGTATGCTTGCAGATCATTCCCTTTGCCCACTGCACCGTAACTCTAAAAGCAACATCGTGGACTATACTCTTCATTTTCATGTGGCTCTTGTAGCTGCTGTTAAACTACATCAACGGTATCAAGGTCATTTTTGAGCTTGTGATGTGTGGAGTCTCCTAATGCCTTTCTACCTCTGGAAATCAGCATTTGTAGCTGCCGCTAAGAATAAATCTTGAAATGACCTTCTTGGCCGAATACTCGGCTGTAGCTGTTGTGATGCAGCAGTTGTAGTAGGCACAGCTGCTTAAATAAACACATGTGCTCACAGAGAGCAGCTTGCTGTCCTAATGCATTTAAAATGAACTTTGACCAGGCCTAACATAAAAATCAATCCCGGTCCTCCTCATCCTGTTCCTGCTAATGCTCTTAATGTTGTCAAGGCCATCATGTTTGCATCCATTTCGGTGGTGCCGTTAATGCGGCTCGGGGAGTTACTGCACCTAACTTGTGATTTGTGTGTGTTTGAATTCATTTGCTTAGTCGGTTCTGCTCTGTCGAAAATGCTTTCTATCTTATCAAGTTAATGAACTTAGGGTGTAGCCCCAAATTTTTTGTATCCTTGGGGCAACTAGTGAAGAGAACTGCTTATTTTAAATGCGGTCAGCCCATTTTAAGTTGAATTTTTAGGTTGAAAAATAGACCTGAAACCTCTTTTGAAAATAAATGCTTATTTTCTGTGTTTCTTCAGGGTAAAGCTCACCGAGACAAGCAGCTGGTTTACCTGAAAGAGCACCTAGATAAATACTACCACAGCCGTGACAGGAAGTGGATAGTGCTGTTTCCTGAGGGCGGCTTTCTTCGCAAGAGGCGGGAAACGAGCCAGTTGTTCGCCAAGAAGCACTCGCTCCCCCATTTGACCCACGTCACGTTGCCTCGTCTCGGGGCCAGCCACGTCATACTGAAAACTCTGGGAGCCCAGCAGGAGAACGGCAGTGTGGGCGGCGACACCAGCATGCTGAACACGACAGGTAACTAAAACACACACATGGGAAAAGCCTTTGGTTTAAAGTGAGACAAACTGATATAGAAACTGTTAGTTTAGACTTGGTGCCAAGGCTGAAGGTGTTCTTTGAAAGTGCAGGATTTTATCTCAGGAAGTTTTCTGGGGTTTAAAAAGCAGAGTCTGGATAAAGTTGTTTCTCCCTTTTTTTTTTTTTTTTTTTTTTTTTTTTTCTTTTTCTTGGTTTCTGTGAACTCTCTCCCATTTACTGTAGTTATTTGATTTATTTTTTTTGGTAGAAAAGCTGGGATAAATCATGCCTCAAATATGAAACCTTAGATCATTACCTCTGCACGTCTCTGTCCTTTAAACTGTAGACGACTGGTGGTAAAGACCACCAGTAGGGCTGGGCGATATGACCCAAAATTCATATCTCGATATTTTTTACCTAGACGGCGATATAAGATATCGATTTTTTTTTTTATTTATTTATTTTTTAAAGCCATAAAGTAAGAACAAAAATAGAGTTCTTAGTCAAAGCTGTGTCCCAGATGTCACACAGGCACTTTTCTTAACATAGAGCAGATGTACATAAAATTTACTCAAAAATAAATTATGAGCATTTATTAAATAATAATGCTCCATAAATAAAAGAAAACAATGTTGTTTTTGTGCATAACAAAGAGCTCACAATTGTGCAGTCACAATGTAAACTAAAAGACGCTGAGCATAATAACAAAGACGGATTTCACAGCTGCTCTGTTCCCAACTTCTACTGTGTGACTGACAGCATTGAGTTTGAAATCCTCTTCGTAACCACGTCTCTTAACAGGTGCCATTTATGGTCCTTATACACAGTAAGGTAATATTACGTTGAAGCACAGTACGTATCACTCCGCGAGGCTCCTCAGTAGCCGTAATGCTCTGACAATCCATCAAGCGGTGCAGCTCCGTAGCTTACCAAAGTCGTACTAAAACATTTTTTGACAGATTGCTGAGCGCCGTGTTCCACATAAAATCTGTTCGCGGCCATCAAGCACAACCAGAATTCATACATAAGGCGCGCTGTCAACTTTTGAGAAAATGAAAGGATTTTAGTCCGTGGAGCACCTCTGGGCTGCATGGCGTTAGCGTGGTTAGCTCATTAGCGTGGTTAGCTAGTTAACACGTTGAAGCCGTCCAGCCCCACACACGGGTTGATGCGCAGTAACTCGTTAACGGAGATTTGCCGTGTCCATCTTGTCGCTTCCTGCAGGTGAAGCGATGGGGGAGGAGGGGGAGTTGTGTTCAGTGAAGGAGAGGCGAGGCCGAGTAACGTTGCGTCAAGACAAAAGTGGACGAAAGAGAGGCAAACTTGCGGGCTATATAGTTATAATGTAACATAGACTATATCGATATAAAAGATATTGTCACATCTTATATCTCGTATAAAAATATATCGATATTTTTTAAAAACTCGATATATCGCCCAGCTCTAACCACCAGTGAAGGAAAGGACTGACACGCACAGAGGTGCCAGAAATTGCATCAGTATCCCTGAAAACCCCAGCCGTGATTTGCAGGGGAGTAATTTTTCTGTCTAGAGACCAGCCCTAAATACAGCCAATGAAGAGGATGATAATGCAGCAATTAACAAGCTTTGAGGGTGAAAATTTATTTATTTATTTTTAACTTTGTTAAAATTTGTAACATTTTATTTGTCAAGCGTAACTTTATTCTGTTTTCGTAGTGGCTCCTATGGGTCACAATAAGCTAATGTTGATTGTTTTACATACTGCTGGGTAAGCTGACCTGGAGTATTATAGCACGTATGGTCATTTCATCTCAAATCAAGCAATTTGTGGAACATCTATCCCAAAAATCGGATGCAATATTTGAAAGTGGATCAAAAGACAGTTTAACAAAACACAATAACAGTTAAAAAAAAAAATGTTAAAGGATTCGTATATGAAGCTACAATTTCACAGCATTGTTCAGACTTTGCATCATAAAATTTTTATGCATATCAGAGACGGTTTAGCAGAAGGCTTGGTTAAATTCAGATGGAGTGACCCTATATAAAGAGTTGAACTTTCACCTGACATGTGAAAGTTCCTAAATTGATACCAGCAGGAGAGACAAATTGCTGGGAGCTTTGTGTCTGTCATTCATTCATTCATTCATTTATTTATTTATTTATTTATTTATTTATTTATTTATTTATTTAAACGTTTTAAAAATGTGACAAATATGCTGATCCACCTGCTGTTGGGATCACAATTACAGCCACAGTAGTTTATTATTACTTTGATGTGAATACTATAAATGTGTATTTCTAATTGGTAACTAAATCTGTAAAATAAATGTAGCAGAGTAAATGCTGTGCAGTTTTTAACCTATGCTAGCTGTGGGTATCATGACGTGAACATGGGATGGCTGCTGTGGGCTGCTGCAGATTTAAGGGTCACAGCAAACTAAACAAGTAGTTTGTGTGCATATACAGTTTGTGTTTTTGCTTTGTGGATGGGAGCAGCTGAAAAAAATCACTTTTCTTCATATTTAAGCTTTTTGAACCTTCGAAATTGGATAAGCAGGGAAGTTAGATGGGTTTAATATTTAACTCTTGTTGTCTTTTACTTGCAAATTTTTGAACTACATTTAACAAGCATCGTATATTGTAGAAAAACATGATCTGGGTCCATTGTTTCTGTATGGACACACTGCAGCTCCACCATAAACTACGCCTCTGGTCATCTTTACTGTTGTAATGTTATTAACTTTTATGTTGAGAAATAATTTTTAGTTGAGAAGGGAGTGAAACCGTCATGCTGTTGAATCCTGTTCCCCCCCTAGTGGCTCCTTCCTGCTGTGGCTTCCATGATAAGTTTAATCCGGTTACTTTCAGTGGCCTTTAAGTTTTCCTTTAATGTGTCACTCACCTACCTTTTTGTACCTATGGATATATGCAGATCACAGTGTGCCTGTGTGACATTTTTGGAGTGCAGGAAATGAATTTGTCTATCTTTTCTAGAAGAAATATCTTTCATATTACAGTTAAGATATTAGTTTGATCATTACAGATACCACCACTACAGTGTCCACCCATTGTACAAATCTAGGAGGTTCCAGTTTTTCCAGATGTGCAGGTAACTTCTTACTGCCATCAAAGTACTTCTAAAAGAAAGAAGCCATATTTGGTTTGCTGGGACAAAGCACTGCAATGTCTGACCTGTCAGTTTTTCTATACAGCAATTTTGCTTAAAAAAACAACCCATAAATGAATTGATACTGAATGTATCAATTAGGCTCCTCCCACCAGCTTCCAGTGGAGGCTGTGCTATTGCTCAAGTATAACCAAGAAACAGTGGATCATCATTACAATAACAGGGAGGGAAACATGCCTGCAACTACATGCAGAAATTGTTGTAAAACTCTAGTGTGGACTTGCATCAATGCAACTACACGATTTGCTCACATTTCCTGTTCAGTTGTTGATGGGCTCTTTGGGGTGAGGGGTGTGACAGGTGTCATCTTTACTACTGCTGACTTCTCCCATAGATTTCCTTTTTTGATTTGTTGAGGGTCTTGTCTCTCTCCTGTAATGTTTTTACTACCAATTCCACCTCAATCAGTCCAAGACGCAACCTCATACTGCCCTCAGGGATCAATCCTCTAACATGTACCCATAATAAACTCTTATAATTAAATACATATTCTCCCAACGTTTCCTTAACACATGACCAAGAAATATGAGGATAAATTAAATAATTGATTTATGGATGTATGTATGTATTTATTATTATTATATTTATAATTCATGAAATCTAGTCTTACCAATCCTTTCTCAATTTGGGCCCTATTTCAGGAGGACCCACTTAAATCTGCTCTGTGGACTAATATTGGAATACATGTTTTGTTTTTTACTCAGCAAATTTATCCAGATAACTCAGTAAATCTGCTGCTTGGAGCAGTCCTCAGCAAAAAGAAGGCATTAAAACAGCGATAAATGTAAAGCTTCAACGAGTCTCCCCCCCCCCCCCCCCCAATGCCTGTGTACGCTGCACACTCAGTGTCGACCCAGCGGACTCTTCTTGGCTTTCGTTCAGAATCCATTTACGGGGGTTTGGTGTTAATAGCAAATTGGAGGGACTTTGAGCCAGCATTATTGAGAATGTGGCCCAGACTTTAGCCTTCCTCAAGTTTGCTAGCGCAGCTCTGTGTCCTACAGCCTCAGCACTAACAGCAAGATGCTGTCTGATTACTCCTCTGCAGGACAGACACTCAGACTGAAGATGAGGTGTCTCTTGATTGGCCACTGTAAAATTTAAATGAGTACAGCAGCTTTATTTACATACTGACGGTGCTAAATGTGCATTTTTTTATTGCACCGGTCTGATTAAGTTCAAAATATTTACTGCGTTAACAAACGTAGGTGTGTGCAGAGGTTTTTGTGTTTATAATCTCCATCAAGGCAAACTATTACGAACGTTTTTTAAGCATTTTAGGCACGTCAGTCTTATTCATGTGTAATCGTGCATTATAATTTGACCTTGCTGTACATCCAGTTCATATCCTCGTTCATGTTATGTCCTTTCCTCTGTTCCAGCAGCTCAGGAGGAGGGGAAGCTGGTTGTTGCAGCAGGGCTTGTCCTTCCACTTAAATCTAGCTAATGGCATTAAAACATAGGGCAAGAAAATACACATGCCCAAAGGAGCGTTGTGTCCCTCACTACCCTGTGCTCTTCATTTGTGTATGTGTGTGTGGCTGTCTGATGAAAGACACAGTTCTGTCTCCCTCTGACCCTCACTGATGCTCTGCAGAGGTACCCAGAGCTCGCTGACTCACTCGGAAACAACCGGGCCACTTGGAGAAAATGGGATTTGATGCAGCCATGCAATGTCACCCGGGCTGAAAATGCCACTCGGTGCAAACACAAAGATTAGCACAGCTCTGTGGAAAGGGCTGTCCCTTGGACCAGTAAGGTGTGTGTCATAAAACTGTATTTACAGTTGCCAGGAAACAAAGTTCGCCATTGTGAGTCATTTAGGGTGGGTCATTAGGGAGCTCCTAATCACCCAAAAGTCAACATGTTCGATAACACCAAAAGTGGTTAAATCCACTTTTCAGTCAGTAGGATAGACAGACAGTTGTAGGCTTAAAGTGCAGCAATTTGGCCTGAGGAGTGGCCTCAAAGAGAGACTGTGTTTCCTTCCTCAAATTGTTTACCAAAGGATGGGGCCTATCTGTTGTCATTTTAAATTACCGTGGCCGGTGCTGTTACACTATTGTGTGCCACAGCATATAGGGTGCCAACAATACTTTGGCTCAGGGCCCCATTCTTTGACCAGCCATTCACGGGAGACTGATAGAGAAGGGATCCAGTTACCCACACAGGGATAACTGACGTTAGCTATTTCCATTAATACCAAGGATGCCTGTCAAGTCACTAATATTGGTATGAATCAGTCGACTTGCTCCTCAGCTGCTTCTTTCTGTCTTCTGTCTGGTGTTGAAACTATAGAAACAGAGGTGTGTACTCTTAAAGGTCAAGCTTTCTACGCACTCGTCTCTTATCTAGATTCATAGAAGTGTAGACAACCTTTGTAATCAGTTATATTGTCCCAGCTGCCCAGAAGAAATCCAGTAACCCCCACTGATGGGCCCGCATATATATCCTCCACAGTTTACAGGTTCCCTGCAGGTCACTGATGTCTGCAGATTAGGGGTTGATAAATTAAATTAATTACCAACATGAATAGGTGACACCTTCACATTTAAAAAAAGGTTACTTAACAAACACAACAGAATGTTTCTCGACTCTGTGTGGATGACATGTATATAATTAGACAGTTGTTTCAATAAATATTAGAAAGCAGTACCCAAGCCTTGCTTCATCACATCTCACTTTACATTAATAGTGACTTTACACCATAATGCGGTGCATTATCTTCGTCCTTTTCTCACCCCACATGCCACTGCCTGTTCACAGCCTTGTTACTTCCCGGATCGACTACTGCAACTCTCTTCTTTTTGGTCTTACTCAAAAATCCATCCACAAGCTCCAACGCGTCCAGAACTCTGCTGCTCTTATTATCACCAGGACCCCTTCTATCCATCACATCACGCCTGTCCTGCAGCAGCTTCATTGGCTCCTGGTCAAATATCACATCAATTTCAAAATACTGTTGTTCACATTTAAGACTATTCATCATCTCTCCCCTCCATACCTCTATCCCATCTCGGTGTCTGAGATCTTCTTCTCTTTCTCTCTCTGCCCCCTCTCCCCATCTTGCCACCATGGGGAGCATTTGTTTTATGTCTTATGCTTTTATGATTGTGTAAACGGCTTTCTTTTATGTTGCTTTTATTATTCTGCTGTGTACAGTTTCCTTGAGTGCTTTGAAAGGTGCTTTAAAAGAAAATTTATTATTATTATTAATAATAATAATAATAATAATAAAGTTCACCAGAATGCAGACAATTAAAAGCTCAACATTCAAAATGCCAAAAACTCAAACATCAACTTTGACACAGGTTATTTCTTCAGCTCTGCAGTGTTTATAATGGTCTTTACTCTGCCAAGCCTCAGTGGCAGTAGAAATACCATTGTAAAATTGCATTTATTATTATTATTTATTTATTTTTTTAAAAGACCTTTATTTCCTTTTACAGTTTACATGGTACACATCATTTGAATGACTGTTACTGAAGCATATCTGGATGCCTTTTATCTGGGTAACCCATTCAATCCTGTTAGTGTTTTACCACTTTGTGCTGATCATTCATACTTCTCACACCCGAACAACAGGAGCAGTTAAACTTTTGGACACTGTGATGTTTTTGTTTTGTTTTTTCATCATGTCAGATTTTTGCTGGTATTTTATTAAATCCATTTTTTTTCCCTTTTAGCAGTGAAATGCTTCCCGAGCCTTTGCCTGCAACACAAGCCCAAACTAATGCACCCCTATATTTAACAGTTGAGGAGGGCTATTCTCTTCATAAAATTCTTCTTTTCTGAATATTTGTTTCCTCATAGTCACTGCAAAAAATAGATATTTTTCCACTTCAGTCTTGTTTCGAGGTGGGAATGCCTCTTCTGTGACGCTGATTTGTGCCGATGGCGTAGCGTTGTAAAATGGTACAATCTTTCTGGTAGTATTCTGCAGTCAAACAGGAGTACACCCTAGAAGAAACACTGGCTTGATTGTCTCTGGGGGCAGCTAAACTTTTGCTGTGTGATAATTAAACTTTTTGCAGTTCACAAGGAAAATTAAACATAGATGTTTAAATTTTAAATGCCCTCCTTTTGGCAATTTAGTTTGTAGAATTTGCCAACATATCTAGAGTAACGGGTCAACATAACCTGTTCCTGTCAACATAACCTTATTGATTTGTACTGACCTGACAGGTCACCTAAACAAGAGCAACACGTGAAGTGTAACTGTCTGTACTCCACTTGATAACGTCTCTGCTGCACTTTTTAACTCCCTTTCCCTGCTTTTCTCTGCATTTTGTTCCCATCATTTATAACTAGTTTGCATTATTTCCCTTTTTTCTAACTGCTGTAGTCAGTCATCTGTAAAATTTAGCTCCAGTTTGTGACACGGCATATTTACTTCCCATAAAGACGCCAGTGTGTTCTGAGGGGGAAGTGCTTGCTGCACAGTAACAGCAGACAGGACTGCGACCTTAGCAGTCAAATATGCTGCACTGCTCCACGTCAGCTTTGCTTTACAGCTCAGACTGCTGGTCTCCTCTGTTTTACATTTGACAAGCCTGTTCCGAGTATTAGCTTAAGGGAAAGCACTTTTTCACACCATCATCTTATGTTTTGCAGTCCCGTTAACTTAATTTGATTCCCAGTGTCAGTTGTTGTTTTCAACTTCTTCGTTGTGTAGTGATGGAAGAAGCAGGTTGAGGACATGTTGAGACTGGCTTGTGTTTTGCTCTCTCTGCTTTTTTTTTTTTTTTTTTTTTTTTTTCTCCTAGAAGGAACACAGGGTGGAAGGCTTCACATCGCTGTAATGTTAGTCATATCCAAACCTGTAATAACAAGAAGCAGGAAGTTGAGTGTAGGTTCGACAAATTGGCCTTACACACATCACTTAATTTATTTTATTGTCTTTGTGATTATGAGCAGGTGAGCACAGACTTGACCCTGCTTAATGCAACTAAATACTCACCCACATGCACCCTGCAGCTGACTCCCAGATTTAATCGCATGTCTGGCATTCCCTCCCCCATCTGTCGTCCCCCGCTTTCCCGTCTATTTTTTTTCCTCTTGCCTTTCCATTAAAACTAAAAGTAACAACAACAGTAAGAGTTCGCTGATAGAAAAACATGTTATGAAAGATTAGCTGTAGAGGTGAAAATGTTTCCTTTGCTATGACTCACAAACATAGCTGCCAGCCAAGTTCTGTCAAACAGGGACTTCAGCTGGTACTCCACCAGTCTTTTTGGCAGGTAACCAGCCCTAATTTGCATGCTTTGGTATTTTATTTAGGAAACCTTCTGATTACAGATACGGTCTTAAAGCGGAAAAATCAGGATGATCTCAGCTATTGAAGTGTCAGTGAACGTTTTTGGATGACTGATTTTATCCAGTTCTTCTCACTTTCTGCGTTTGTGTTTCTTCCCTGGCAGCTAATAAACGTAAAGGCTTGCAGTGGGTTATAGACATGACCATAGCGTACCCCAAAGCAAGACCGATGGACATCCAGACCTGGATCTTTGGCTACAGGCCTCCTACAGTCACACATGTACATTACAGGTAAGAATTAAATGTTGGATCGTTAAACTCTCCATTTACCTTTAGCATTTTCACATGAGATGCAGGGAACAGTAAACTAATCTGTCACATTCACAGGAGGGAAAACAGAACCACAATGCAAATGTACTTTGCAGCACGCGTGCAGCAAAGACTTTGTCGCATGAAAATCACATTACATCACAAAATCAGACAGCGCAATGTAGGGAGAGGCCCATGTTGCTGAATCTTGAACATGTTAGTTGTTAATTGAAGTGCTGTTGTCATATGCACACCGCACAGTTGTTACACTATTTTGTCAGTCTCCCTTCTGCCAGTGCAGTTATAAAAATCCTAATACGCATATTAACACTAAAATAAATACAAAGTTACGTCTGTGTCGGCAGAGAGAGTTGATCAGCCACAGTGTTACTGTGCTTGTTGTGTTTTTCAGGTCATTATTTAAGGTCAGTTCTGTCATTCAGTTCACATAGGCCGCCTCCTTATGTCTTCCCAGCAAACAAAAGTTTTTTTTTTTTTTCTTTTTTAACATAATAAAAATAAGCTTGAAATCAAGTCACTTAAGCTATAAATGCACTGGTATCAGACATTTAATGTCTATCTTAAGATGTTCAGGGATTTTTATTTATTTCCCTAAAGCTATTAAATTTGCTGATTTAGCTCATCAGGCTGCTGTTCACATTTCTGTTTGAGTTTTTTTTTTTTTTGTGTTGTTTTGTTTTAAAGTGTGAAAGGGTTAGGAAACTTTAAAAAATAAAACCTTAAAACTAACAGCCAGAAGAATGTTAGCATTCAGATCCAGTTGTACCTGTTCAGCTGTTATCCATCCACTTGTGATTGTAAATTTGAGAGCACTGAATTTCACATTGTTTTTTTTGTGTGTATTGTAAGTTGTGTATTTTGTAATACTCTTTACTCTTCACTTTGGGTAAAGAGTATTACGTATTTACTCCCTATAGAAAGTAGTTTGTTGCACCACCTTTGTATTACTTTTGTATTATTCTGTATTAGCACCTTCAGAATTAACAGTTGCAATCGTGTACATTAACTTTTTATATGCACACACATCATGCAAATCCCCAATTTAGTAAAGAAAACTGTTGTCAGTGTTTCCACTGTAGAAACAAGTACAGGTGCTAATGTACACCTGTTCATGTTTGCATTTGCTGCCTGATGGAAGTCAGCCTGCCTGTCTGGTTTGGGTCAGATGCTGCCCTTTATCATCACTCTGAACCTGAGGCCTCGCTGCTAGCATGGTCTTTGCAGGTGCTTGCATAGCTTTGATGTAGCATTGGCAGCTGAGCATGTTTTGCTCTTTACTGTCACATTCTTGACCCTTCGTTCTTTACTTCTCATCATTCTTTGTGTTGTAGCTGGTGCTCTTATTTTAGTCCCGACTCCCACATAAATTTATGTCAAGCAAGTGTTTTGAGAGGTTTATTTCTTTCTCTTTTTACCTTTTTGAGGGAGGGTCCAGCCATCGTACAGATAATAATGAACTTAAGCTGGTTGCATATGTATGTTCAACTCTGTTTGGATTGGCAGATGGCTTGTGCTGATTTCTTTTCCTACTAAAGATAGGAAATCAACTCTTTGGTGTCTTTTTACACCGAATTATGCTCACTGTTCTCACTTTAAAGAGTGCAGTATGCACCAAAAGTGACATCACAGCTACTGGTACACATACCACTTGTGCATCTTTTCGACTGGTTGTTCACATTTCAATTTTGAGCTCGTCCTGATGAAAGATGGCTCAGCTTAAACCACATCAAGGAGTCGACCTGTCCACAATGCACAAATGAAACTTGCACACAATTACCACCTGATGGATCTTCGCCCAAATTGTGCTCGAGGTTAAATTTGTAATTTAATGTGCAATAACCTGTGAAATGTGATGAATTGTGAGCTGGATGAAGTACTACGTCGTTCTGGTTGTAAATTGGAAAACATGTCTTAGTTGGAGGCACGAGTGTGCGATCGAGTTGGTCTTTATTGCCACTTAAATGTCATTTTAGTACAGAAGCTCAGAGATTGTCAAATTACAGGGAGGGGGAATACTGCAGAAAAGGTGAGAGGTTCTGGAAAAAGATGTGAGAGAGACAAAAGCAGTCTCTTTGGTTTCTGTTTAGACTTTATCTGCTTCTGTGCCGCTGCTGATGCGTAAGCGTTTTTTCTGAGAGGTGGCACTCATCAATCAGGAGAAGACTGCAGGGAGTCTGCTGCACCTCAAGCGACAGGATAAATGGTTACAGGGCTGTGGCGAAATCACAAGGTGGCACACGCAACCACCAATGTGGTGACTATAAACTTCGATTTACTCTTTTCTTCAGCAGCAACAAAGCAGCTGCAGCTGCACCAACCCAACTTTGCCTTTCCGTTTTTACCTCACAGTATGCTAATAGTGATGCCTTTAGCAAATGTTAATATTGTAATATTAGTGAGATAATATTTTAGCAAAGTGTCAGGAATAGTCTGGCCATCCTAATACACACCTGTAGACATAGGACACTGAGCATTAGTAATTCACTGGACATGCTCTGCCAATGTAAACAGGAAGCAGGAGGTTGGTTGCTTAGACAAAACAGGAAGAAGAGCAATGAGTACAAGACTAGTGATTACTTTGCTGGACCTTAAGTGGAGCCTATATGCAAAGGCAGTCATGTTGGCAGGAAACCTGTTAACGTTGGGAATCATTGCAAAGCAAATATGGTGACACATTAGTGCAGTATGAGCAGCATTATGGGATCATTATGGGAAAGCAGCACACACAAGTGGGATGAATTCACAGATGTATGTGAGCCTTGATATAATAATGTTTTGGCTTAATTTGTGTGACTGATAAGATCTAATCAGGAAATGAATGTGGGTGTGTGCTTCATAGTTTCCAAAAGTCCCCAGTTCTGCCCTTTTGAGACTAAATTATAATTCAAATTATAGCTGAAACTGGGTCAGCAGCATTTTTTTTTTAAAAAGTCTCAGTTTTAGGGTTCCTAAAACCCCCACTAGTGTGGACATTGGGTTTAATACTACTGTGGATGTGTCTCATGAATTTTAAATATTCTTGGGATTAGCGGAAGTAGTTTTCCCTTGCGAGGCAGGTTCAACCACTGCTGTAAAATTCTGACATTAAAGAATTAAAAGATGCCTTCAGTTTTCACCCTTCATACCTGTCTGATTTGGCTTCTGGCTGAACCTTATCTAGAAGCATAAAAACAAACAAAAAACAGATCAGACTTTATATGTTTGCTCTTTAACGACTGCCCCCTTTGGAGTAAACATGTGCCAGTACCTGTCTATGATAGGCTTTAGTATATGTGAAATATTGAGAAAATCAGGATCCGATGTCCGGGTGTTTAAAAAATACATCTGGAAAAACAAAATGTAGAAATAAGCTACAGTATATGGCTGCCATCTTAAGAATATTCCTCTTCGTATGAAAAGCAAATGCAGGTGTCACTCCACGTTGTCCTGCTCTCTTTGCCCTTCAGATTCTCCTCTCTATTGCTTTTCTATCCACTTGAGGATAAAGTGAAGGTGGGCCAGGATTAGATTTTCTGTAGACTGTGTTCAAGATGAATATAATCCCCTAGGGTAGATCAGAAAAGATGTATCCAGGCATCAAAGCAGTAGTCATCAGGTAGAAGTCACAGTGAGCCTAAATGTTGCCTTGAACAACTTCCTCAAACAGCTCAGGTGTGTGTCTACACCTTGGTGTGATAGAGGTTGATTTATGAACCCTGGCCCATCGCCCCCTCTCTAGAGAGGCCCCTCTGCTCACTTTGTCTGCAACTAAGAATTCATCAGCTCTGTAATTAGAGGGGATGCTGGATTCTCTTCCCCACCTCCGAGACTCTCTAATCAGCCATCGATACAATCAGCTTCCCCTGTTCTGTCAGCATCTCTGCAGCCAGGGGATGGACAAGAAGCCACCCGACTACAGTTGTTACAAGCGTGCGCACTCAGTTCCATGCCGTGCAGACAGTGCTGATCATAGACAACTTAGACCATGCTGGTACAGGTGCAGAGTCAACAAGAGGATTAATCTCCTTGCTGATCAAGGGAGCGCTGTAGGGGAGTGAGCAATGCGATGCACTTTGGTGATGCGAATAGGAGACGCGGGTGGACAAGTGCCACCCTACAGCGGTGTTTCTGCTGGGTCAGTTAAGGGGAATTTTTATTGTGAGAGTAGCATTTAATCACTGTCATGGCTACAAATAATTCAGAATAAGGAATGCCGTGAAAGATTGCCGTTTTTCAGGCAGTTTTTATTTTTTGTAATTCTTGGCTCTGGAATATTCACTGAGAGCAGATATCCCTAAAATGGTCATCTTGGGCACAAAACTCAGAGGAGCTGCGCCAAGTCCAAGTATAAGATATAAAAGGATTATTTTTAAACTTTGATGGTAGCTTTGCATGATTCAGAGTACAAAAACAAAATATGGTGCTGGAAATAAGCCCATCTCCACTTGATACTCAGGATGCATGATTCTAGAGGGATTACATGGACTGATGAGTATTTTCCCTCCATAACACTAAACACCTTGAGTCATATTTTAACAAGGATAGTCAAAATCAAAGCTAGTAGTACAGTTGAACTAAAATAAATGAAGAAATGTAGTTTACTTAATGCTTACTCAATGGAGCTAGTAGTTAACACAATGGGGTTCCTTTTTTTGTATCGAAAAAACATCGAACCGTGACACCAAAGTATCGAACCGAACGTGAATTTTGTGTATCGTTGCACACCTAGTTAACACCTGGGGTGATGATAAGTTTTGTATGAAATAACAATACAACTTTAGCAATGTTTATTTCCAAGGCAACTGGTGTTTTTTAAATGTACGTATGTAAATGCGTGCAAGTGAATGCACCTTCACTGTAAATGCCTTGGAAACAACATTCATAAGATGTTTGCTAGCCCTGAAAGATGTCAACTTAAATTAAGAAAACAAACAGTAATGCAGAAGTCAGTGGTGAAGCTGTGTGTTTTGTTTGTGGATAGC